TGCTCACAGATGCTATTTTTATCCCTGTGTCTTTCTGGTTCTCCTTTATGTGTTTCAAGTTATGAATTGCAAACAAAAAAAAAATGCTGTTTCCAATAGGGAATGTGCACAGCTGCTCCTCAGGGAAAGAAGCTGACCTGGTGGTCTTGGCTGCATGGATCCAGCAGCTGTTCTGCACTGGCAATGCTCCAGAGGCTCCTTGTAGGGAGAAAAAGGTGAAGGGGGAAAGAAAGAGGAATCGTGCAATGAATCCAGTGCAGTGCTCTGGATGACAGCAGGGATCAGGGTAACCATGCCCTGGAGGTGACTCAGTGTGTCAGTGGCAGAGTATAGAGAGGATAAAACATGTTTCCCCCAATGTCCAGAGTCTGTCCTTTTCAGCTGTCATGATGCTGCTGGAGGGCCATGACACAAAGACTGTGCCTGTGCACTGGTGATAGGATTTAGGAGCTGGAGAATGGGGATCTGACAAGCCTGGTTTTATAGATCACAGCCTTCTCTGCATTACCCAGTGTCTCACTCATGTATTTCTTTTGCATTTACTTGTCTCTCAGTTTATTCCCATGACTTTAAGCCAAGAGCCATTTATGTTTTGGGTAGATTGTTCAGAAAGGCTATTGGTCTCATGTAGGTCTGTCAAGACTGGAATCACTTTGCATCCAAGCCTGAACGCTGCATCCAGCTACTCTTGACCACTATGCCACTACACTTTGGTAATTCTGGGATCTGTTTGTTTATCTTGCCAAGCAGAGGCCTAGCACGACAGCAATGCCTTCTGTTCTTGGTGATCTGCTCTTAGTTGCAGAGATCAAGAGAGCCAGGTAAAAGTAACCCTACATGTGCAGCAACAATTCGTGCCCACTGCTTGCCCTGTGAAGATTCTGCTCCTCGCCTGATCTCCTGAGAATCTTGTCTAATCCAGCAGTGATGTCATTGGCTTGGGAGTTTCTTTTTGTCTGCAGTTTTGTTTGTTTGGTTTGGATTTTCTTCTTTTTTCTTTTTCTTTTTTTTTTTTTTTTTTTTTTTTAATGATGGTAATGGTCCTTGAATACCCTTGATGTCTTCACGGCTTTGAGATGACAACACAAGTTCCTTGGCTAAGGTTGTCCTTTGATCCTCACTGCTCACTCCTGCTTTTGGCAGTTTGTGTGGGAGTTCATGTGCGTCAACAGTGGCAGAATCGTTGTTTCCCTCTGCTGAAGGTGACCAAAAATGTTTTGCTTGTCCGTTAAGAAATCACTTTAAGAAGATCAGTGTAATGAGATTCTGAAGCCATATGGCACTGGAATTAGAGCCTTCTAGTGCAGGAACTGCATGTTGCAATTGCAACAGTGCTGTACACTAGAAGGAATTTCAAGAACATTTTTCCTCTGCTTCCTTTAACTCCTTGGGGTTTAAAACCATGCCGGGATGTAGCCCTTTATTAAAAAAGGAGGGAGAGGAAGTCCTGGTCTGCTTTTTATTAGTTGGAAGAAAATAAATGAAAGTTAATAAAAAAGACTGGTTTCTGCTTTCTAGCTGAACACAGGAATGGATGTTACCATTGCACCAAGAGTGCTCTGAAAAGAAACCTTTGTGTCAAACTACTGAAATGGCTTATCAAATTCAATATCTGGGAGGTGGGGAGGCAGAAGGAAGGTTATTGAGCTATATGCAAAATGAAAATGTGTTTCAGCATAGCTATCAAAGATTAGTTCAAACATCAGGGAAAACATAATGAAGTAGGAAAATGTGAAGCTGGAGTTTCAGGAAAGAAATATAGATTATTTTCTTAGCTTCTATATCAGTCTTTATAGTGGCATTGAATTTAGAGTACTTATTTCTTAGACTTTTGGAATTCTACATACTTAGGTGTGGTGAGCTGCTGGTCTTCATGAATAAATAAGACACCTTTTGCTGTTGGGTTTTTATGTTTTGTTGTCTCTAAAATGTTGGTGGATAAAGAGAAGTGATTTTTTCACACTAAAATTTCTTAATGGTTCTTGCAAGGCTCTGATGGAAAAGCAATGCCTGTTCCCCTCAATTGCTTTAATGACTGTGTGGGGTAAGCTGCAAACAGTGAGTGTTTTACAGTGTTTTCTAGCTGCCTCATTTATACATGCAGCAGAAGTAGACTTCTCTTCCTCCTTCTTCTGACAGATAAATGCTGTTCCCAAACTCAAATCTTGATTCTTCACAAGAAATTATGTCCCTTGGGCTCAGCATCATTGAGATTCAATATGTTTGTTGCATGTTTTGTGCTTAACAGTGATACCAACCATCACAGCACTGCTTTTTGAGGCAGAAGCATCTTGTTTCATGAGAAGAGATATGGGGCTTAAACGGATTTAACTGAGCTGACTTTAAATTTGTTGCCATCCTCTGGTCACACAGTCATGGCAACAAGCACTTAAGCACTTTCCAGCAAGCATCAATTCCAAGGCAAACTGGTATTTCTAATGAAACTAGGAACTAGTGCAGCTCTGCAGGCTGTTTTGGGTAGTGGCATCTGAGGGTATCTGGGTCATGGAGTGGGGTTTTTTCTTTTTTTTTTTCCTTATTTTTAATTTCTGATGACACTTTCTTACATTTATTTACTTGCTTATTCATTGACAGACCAGCCCAGATGATGTTGCTAGGCAATGCTGGCAATTCATCACCAATTTTCCAATCATTTTGCTATGGGTGTTAGAGCAGCAGGAAAGTAATGCCCTTCCATTCTGTGCTGTTATGGAGAAGACCCAGGGAAGCATGCCTACCATCTTCTGTACCTGTTCCCTTCAGTACAACCTTCTTCTTTCAAACAGACTGATACCTTTCAGCTAATGGAGGAAATTTGTGAATTCCCCATCATCCACACAGAGTGTGTTTGGTAACATGTTACATAGAATTCCTGCAAGGCAGCCCTCACTGCAGGTCCTGTGCAGTACAGAAGAGGTAATTTGTGTGGTAAAACCAGGGTGGGTCTCAGTTCTCCCATTGTCAAGTTTTCCATATCTGTCAGGAGAAGCTAGCCTAGCTTGTGAATGGGACTGCAATGAAACTTACAGTAGAGCAAACACATCCTTCTGCCCATCCGTCACAGCACTCAGTCCCTGAGATGACCCTTGTGTGCCTTGTTGCTAAATGTGTAGCAGCTGCAGCCAGCTTATTTTTGTGTCTGGAGCTGGGTGATGGCTGTGGTACCCCAGGCAGCAGAGGTTTTTATTTAGCGTTGTGATGGATCAGGCTTTCCTGAGGAAAGACTAGGAAATTATTTTAGATCATTTCCCTGTTGTGTGCTGTGTGGTTACCTGTGCTTCCAAAGCTCACATCTAGGGCAGATTTCTTCTTGCATCCACTTCCAGCATCAGGGCTCCCCCTTGGAATGCAGCAAGTCACAGATCCTCCTGTTCCTAAGCCATGTGGATTCTGGTGGGGAGCAGCATTCACAATGAAGGGTGGCAGACAGAAATGTATTTCCACAAATGCTGGATTCTCCCTCATTGTTTATCTCTGTGTGCAGGGTTGAAGTGCAATTATTCTGTGTATGTCAGACATGAATATATTGTCAGAAAAGTTTATTTGCCAAGGTATATAATGTTTGTCTGTGTAAGGAAGGACACCATGAACCCTTGTGATGAAAGAAAATAGGGAGGAAATGTTTAAAGATAAAACTGCAGGGTTGTGCTTCTGGTTTTCTTATCTCATCATGACAGTTTTCTACAAAGTATTTCTGCCTTCTGTGCCACTGGTCTCCCTATCTATAAAATATTGCTCTCCCCTAGGGATTGCTCTATGGAAGCTCTAATAAATATTTTACAAATGCTAATGAATCAGGTTATTCAACAGTTCAGTACATCAGTGTTCTCACTTTGCAGGCAGGGTTTTGGCAAAGACAAAGAGCAGGAGAGTCAGCAACTTCATACCACACAGCAAATTTGGAGGTGAGGGTAGTAAAATCTTTTACCTTTAGGAGTGGAAATGTCCTTTATAGCTTCATTTCATCAAAAAAAGAGGTTCTGAGACTCAGTTCTCAAGTCTGGTAGCTGTTTGACGACATGGCCAGTTTGTATGTGCTGGGTTAGGAAGCTTAAACATCTCTCCCTGTGTGCATGAGGCAGCAAAGCTGGCTGGGGAAAAGCTGCAAGTTCATGGAAAGGGAAGGAAGTAGGGGCAGGTGAGTTGACTTCTGTGTGTTTCAGCTTACAGGCATTCAATGCAGTTCTGCCAGTTATTCAGCATTTTAGTAATGGCACCATAGGAGGCTTTTTTTCTCCTGGACATCTTTGTCCCCTCTAGGTCATTCTCTGATTTGGATTAATTAGCCTTCTGCTTTCCCACTCCACATCTAGGAATCAGCTGTGATCTGAGCAGGCCATGAGCTGAAGAGCACTGGATGTTCTGGCACTGTGTAAAGTGCCAACAGGTGCTAGGGACTGAGGCACAGGAGGGCAAAGGTTCTCAATCTGTGTGTAAGATCCTTGCAGGAAACTCATTGTGTGCTCAGGTCGCTGCAGTTGAGCTCTGGGTGGCAGCTCAGCCCTGATTCATTGGGTTCTCACTGTATTCTTTGCACTGTCACCAGTGCTGGCCTTGTGCCTGTTATGCATCTCCTGTGCAGTCCCCTGCCGATCCTAGGGGAAGCTCCTTTTTAATTCACTGTATCAGGATTGAGTGCTCTCTGCACTCAATTCTCCAATAACTAGTTTTTTCATAAGACTCTCTAACCAGTGTTTTGTGTCATTGTAATTGTTAAAAGGGGAAAAAAAATCAGCTTAAATATCCAGCTCCTTCCAAGGAGGATTTCTAAATGAATGTTTCAAATATCTGAGTTTGGTGTCTAACTAATGGATCCAACTTCTTTGTTTAAAAAAATTTAGTTGGGGGGGGTGCTTAGCTAGCAGAGCATGTCTGCCAACAATATTTCCCTTGTCCTCCATTTGCTACTCTGTTCATTTCGATTATCAGATCTTATGAGCAGGGACTGTGCACAGCAGCAGAGGGCTTTTCTGTACAGTTGCAGCCTCCCAGTGCCACTGCCAGACGTGTGAGTAATTGGCTGAGCAGCTCTGCAGAGCAGTCTCCTTGCACCGTCCAAGCTGAAATGCAGAAGTAAAAAAATTCGTTCTCAGAGATGAAGACTCATAAAATCATAAGCCTGAAAGGAATGAAAAATCATGAAGAAAAACCTTTTCTCAAAGAAAAATTCTTTGTGAACATAGCTGGCATGCTCATTAAGAGTCGTTCTGTGATCTTGCAATGTGCTTCTGGGATCTTCTCTCTTCATTGTTGCTTATAAGACAGCTTTAAATAAATGATAAGGAAGCCATTCAGGGCATGGGCTGCGCTGAGGTTCACAGCTTTCATTCTGAATGAGAGATTAAAGTAAACTGATATTGAAGGCAAGGAGGGAGAAACAAACACAGTCAGTAAGCCTATAAAAGTCTTAGCCAATTGCAATGGTGAACATCCTGCTGGCAAGGGTGACCTTGAATGAACTAAGTGGGATAAAGTCACCAGGCTGGACTGACAGCTGAAGAATCAGGCTGGATTCCAGCAAACAGAGAGCAGATTCCTGACAGGAGTCTCCTGAGCTGTGGCAATGGCTTCTCGGTGTCGGAAATGTGGACAACAGGTACCCAGGAATCTGCCTTTCACTGCTGTCCGGATAACAGAAGGAGAAATGAAATCGTACCATGATTTTATAGGAGGGTGCGTTAGACTGGAGCGCATGGCAAAGAAAGGTAAGTGTAGCATCCTTGAACAAAATAGCATCTTCTCCTTGTGGTAATTGCATTGCATCCCCAGGCAATTTGTTGAAACAGATTATATTCTTAATGCTTTCTCTGAGGAGTCAGTAATAATTAAAGGCAACTGGCTGGTTTTGGGTATTACCTCAGGTGTGACTGCAGTGTTTGACTTGGCTGTATATTTCTGGGATATTTGCAGTGACTTGACCTAAAGGAGTTAAAATGAATGTTAGACTCATTCTGAATAAATGTTTATTTCATTCGAGTGTAAGACACTGAGTTTTCTGTATATGCCAGGAGTAGGTATCTGTTGTGCATGGAAAATACTTCTTAAAAATAAATGTAAAGAGCTGGAGCAGTGGGTGTCATGACCCAGCTGACCCTGTCACCCTGTGCTCCTGAATTACTATATAGAAGGTCAATATCTTCCTCTCTGTAAAGATTTTGGTTTCACTGTATTTGGAAAGTAGCAAACAAAGCTTTTTGTGCTCTGTGTGAGTCAGCCCAGGTACAGGGCAGTATTCCACTCTCAGGGGGTTGCTAGTATAAGGTACTGGTAACTAGCAATTTGTGCTAACTGCATGCTAACTCTGAAGTAGAGTGATGCAGTTGAAATCTAGGCTGTTGACTGTCTATTCACATATCAAGATTGCTGAATCATAGAACACTTTTTCTCTGTGTCATTGAGAGGAAGATTTTTCAAAGAGCCCCCCTTGATTTGCCCTGTTAACTTGAATAAATACTTAGTAAACCTCAAATCCAGCAAATTGCAAGGTGTTCACTACTGCACATTGAAGACTCCCAAAAAGATGCAATATGATTGTACTTGGAAGTTAAATTGTTTATTATTATTTAATTAGCTCTTCTGCAAGAGTTGCATTTGATCTGGTAAATGGAGAATATTCTGTAGAAAAAGGTGGCTCAGAAGCAGAGTATTGGCTGCAGCCACTGCTCACACACTGGGCTTTGCAGATGCTTTCTTTAACAGGGATCTAATGCACAATGTCAGGGTTTGAAAAGTGCAAAGCCAGTCCATTGTACCTCTGCTTCTATGGGTGATCCATCCATGCTGATCTTTGGGCTCCGTGCCTACCTATGCATTGTTGTATTTGGCTGACCTCTCAGTAACACTGATGTTTCCAGTTGCACTCTTTGTACTGAGGCATTCCGAGTTCAGAGCAGCAGGGCAGAAATGTCTGGTATCCAGTAAAAGACAGTGGATTCATTGGAGTTCCTTCCTGAATGTTTGATCAGGTTGCTTGTGGCTTTGTGGGCCTGTGGACCTGCTGGAGGCAGAGCTCAGGCATCTGCTGCTCTTTTTCTTCCTGTAGTAGAGAGAGGAAGAGACTGGTAAGGGCTTTGCCATGGTTACTGTTCCCAGGGAAACACCTTCTCTGTCTCTCATATTGAGAGACTACCTGGCATAGTATTATGGGTGGAAATCCCTTGGAAAATAATTTTTTGCTAGGAAACAGAGAGCATGTCAGATCAGCCTGAGCCTGTTGTCATTTTGTGAGGCAGAAAACATCTTTGCTGCTTTAGTATTAAATTCGGCCAGCAAAGCTGCCCCAGGGGCAGAAGTTCAGTTATTGCTGAGGACAGGGTGCCTTCAGCTGCAGGTATTGGAGATGTGTGAGTTGTGAGAACACACTGGGGCAGCTCTGTGTGTGGTGACACAGAAGGGGGGCTAAGGAGCTGGCAAGGTGGCACAGGAGTTCATAACAACATTGTGTGGGTTGTTTTCTCCTGCTCTGAACTGACTTTGACCTTGTGTTCATTGTGGGGGTTTTTTTGGCCCGTGTTTTCTTATCTGTAAAGAAGGAGTGGGAATTACTTGCCTCCATAAAAAGTGGATCCTGATGATGTAGCTATGACTACTTCATATTACTACCTTGATGACTAGACCAGTGTCTCTTAGCTGTCTGTGCTACATAAACAGAGAGGCAAAAAGTTTGTCTGTCCCAGAGAACTTGGATTCTGTCTGCCCCACCTAGTCCTACAAGCAAAGACTCATTGACTGCCTTTTTCTCAGGGTGGCTTTCTCTGAACATAGTGGCAATGCAGGATCCCTGGGGCAAGTTCTGACTTACCAGCATTTTAGAGGGAGTATCCTTTCTGCAGTGTAAAGGTTGAGCTGGACTGTTGCTAAGGTCCAGTTGGCTGATGTTCACTCAGTACTTCATGCACTCCAAAATATGGAGCAATTTTCACCTTGTCCATCCCCTGGACACACATACAGACCATGCTTGTGGAGCCTTTTGAATATTCTGTTGCAATTTTATCTTGTATATTAGATATCATAATGAGAAGATATGGAAGGTATGCAGGTAACTACAGCAGAAATGGAGGCCACATGCTTGCAGTGGCCTGCAGGTTTCCTGTCATTTATCAGCAGCACCCCACAGCAAGCAGTTGTGCCAAGCCATTCCAGTTCCTGTGTTCCACTTCCAGTCTGATCTCCCACATTCCTGGATTATGCAAGTTTCAAGGCTTTCTTTCAATCAATGTGATTTCTTCTGATGAGTGGTTAGAGGTGTGGTTGTAGGCTTCTGTTCAGATAAAGGGAAAAAAATAGTGAATGGTCACAAAAAGAAGTGCTGCTGTGAGGGGCCAGCTGAAGGGCAGTTTCCTTATGGGCACATGATGCCTGCTGAGAGCTCCACAGTCCTGGCTCCCTGCAACAGGCTATGTGAGCTGCCTGCAGGGCCCTCTGGGGTCTGGTGTACAAATGGTGATATTTTGAACACCACTGTGTGACCTTGAGACTGGGAGCTGCAGCTCCAAGGTGCTGGTTATAGCACAGCATGAGAACCAAAGGGAAGGAGCCCCCAGAAAGCCAGGGAGAGATGTGGCAGCGACCCCAGCCCAGGGCTGATCATTGTTGGAGTGCCCTCAGTTCCTCACAAAACAGATACTGAGGCTGAAAGCCAAGCACAGCCTCTTGCCATGAAATGCATCATTCTTGCACAGTGGCTCACATGTCTTTTCATCATGGACCTGACTGTTTATGTCACCCTGCTGCTGGTGAACACCTTTAATGCTTGAGGACACCTCTTGCCCAACTGGCCCCTTTGTCCCCAGATGCTCCTAGTTAGCCTGTCTTGTTGTGATGCTCAAGGCCTCAAGGGGATCATGTACCCACAGGGGTTTTACATGGATGAATGATCCTGTGCTGGCTACGACTGTCTCTGCATGCTGTGGAGCTTGGGGCTGCAAGGGAATTTTATATTTTTAGAGGAATAATTGTATGTTTTTCATCTGTGCTCAAGGCTGGTGGCTGCTTAAATCAGGGTAGTGAATCTGCAGACAGGAATATTCAGTTTATTACTGAGGCTTTTCAGGATTTTGCTGTTGCTGCAAAACCAGGCAGGAGGCTCCTTGCCAGGAGGATGGGGACCTGTCTGTTGTGCTAGCAGTGTTTCTTCTTTTGTCCTCTGTAGGACAGAGGAATGCTGCAGTTTTTCTGTCCAGCAATCATGGGAGGTTGTTCTGAGTCCTACTGCTGTGTTTCTATTACTGCTGGACCTGAAAACCAATTCTTCAGATCCATCTGTTCAGGGAGGAAAAGGGACTCAAGTACTGGAGGGGTTAAGGAATTATGGTGCTATCTCTGAAAGGAAATCTCATCTGAAATGAATTGGGACTGAAATTTGTTGGACTTTTTGGATCTTCTCCACCTTTGGTAGTAAAATAAATGAGAAATACTTTCCTTTTTCAAATGACTGACCTTTCCACAGAAGTGCTGGTTACTGGAGAAAGTGTCTATTTCATGTGAAGACCAAAATCTGAAGCATAAGTGGAAGATATTTCTAAATCCCTGAAGACTCAGTCACAGTAGCTCCATCTGTATTGCTCAAATTGTTCTGGTTCTATTTGCATTCAGTATTTCTTCTTCTCTTTAGTAAAAAATGCTACCAAGGGGACCTGGGATAACTTTTTTCAGCTGGCTCTCATTGCATATAGAATAGCTGAAATAAAATATTCTGTTTTCCACAGAGGTCTTTCTGAGAAAAGACGATTATCTTAGATGCTTGCGTTTCTTTTCACCTGTCCCCATTCATATGCAGCATGCTCTGCTGTGGCTGAGAAATACTAAAACCCTGTTTACCTAATAAGAAAGGTCCAGACAATTATGAGACAAATAGTGAAGGCACAGCTTGATTTTCATTTAAAAGAGTTCTGAGAGAGATGCAGAACTGCAAAGATCAAGAGAACAAATTCTCAGAGGGCAAGTTAGAGCAGAGGCCTTGTGGGTATTTATGTTTTTCCCTTTCTCCCATGATACCAGAACAAGAAACAACTCAGCAAAATGGAAAAGCATTAAACATGGATAGACAGATTGCTATAATTGGCAATGTTTTGTTAACTTGTGGGAATTATTACCACAGTATAATAGCCCAGTTTGCTTTTCTTTATTACCTGAATTGTAGTGTAAACTGCCTGGGGAGAAGATTTCAGGGGAGAATGGTGCTGAGTGCGCTGGGAGGTTGGAGAGTGCCTGTGCAGAGCTCTCACCCTGGTTATGCCCACAGAGCCTATTCTCCAAATTCAGCCAGTTCTGCTGCTTCACACCTCACTTAAAAACCCAATTCTGCTGTGCTAATGTATTGATTTTTTTTAATACAAATTGTACTGCAGCTTTATTACCTGAATCTTGCTATGGATTAGCCTGACCAGTGACTTTTCTAAGACATGGACTTTGCTTCTTCACCACATTATCTACTAGAGATACTCAGGATCAAGTATAAAGTAATGATAAATAAATGCTTGGTTGGAGCAGCCCAGCTATATATGAATATTTGGACTATGCAAGTGTCTTGTTGCACAAATTTCTGATCCTGTTAGTTAATTTCATTTTTCAAAGGGAAGAAAATCCTCCAGGTTCTTACAACAGACAAGAATTATTGACCAAGCATTTTGGTTTTTTTCACCCTTTTCTAAGCTGGAATATCCCAGCATCCTTATTTTGCACAGAGTCAATGCCTTATTTATAT